TTCAAGAAAGGAAGATCTTGAATTGCATCATTGGAATTAGTTTTTATGGTGTGCCTTACTCTTTCAGCATGAATGAATTTTGCAATGCAAATTGAGTCAGTAGTACTGATAGATGTTTATCTCTAAGAAACAGTTTGATTTCCTGTTTCAATAAGAAGAAAAAGTGTGCTTTTGGGAATACTACTGAAGCTAAATATGGTGGAATATGGAGAGGTTACTCTTAAATATTATGGATGAAACAAATGTTGAAGGATTATAACGTCTAAATATAATGTCTTGACATTATGTTGTGAAGATCTGAATGATATCAAACATCTTATTCAACATGGTTGGAACAAGAACCTTGATAGTCATAATCAACTAATCAAGAATCTTGTTGAGAGAAATATTGTTATTATGGAGCATATGGAAAACAAGGAACAACTTAATGTTATTGTTTAATCAGATTGAGAACATAAGAAGTGGAGTTGGAACATGCACTATTGAGGAGTTATAATAATTACAAATATGGAGGAATGAAATAGTTACTTCATATTTCCTCTATTCTGTGGGGCATGATAAGCCTATACAAATTTCTATTGATAAAAGATAAAATAAAAGTTTTCTACAAGATAGAAAGGTTGGTTTGAAGGAGACATGTTCTAATATAGTGGCAATGAAGTTCAGTGTTAAGACTTCTAAAACATGTGACAACAGGAAAGAGTGCAGAAGGATCTTTGATAGAGATAAGAGGTGAAATGCCACCTGAAGATGATCAAGATTGTGTGTTTCTATCTGAGTTTTGTGTGTTTCCTGTGCTAGTTTGTGCTTCCATCTATGTTATAGTTGGTGTACAATATGTGTGCTTCTAATTGTTTTTATATTTACTCTATTTTTGTCAATTTTTGGCTAAAAAGGGGGAGTAAAGTGTTAGGTGTTTTATTTGTCATGATGTTATGTCACATGTCTTGACATGTTGATTAGCATGATGATATAACTGTACTACCCGCTAAGGGGGGAGTAGTTATTGTGGTTTGTGTGATGTATGCAACTATTTAGGGAGAGCATGATTGTTTGTCATGCTTGTTGGTGGTGGTGCTGCTGCTACTGCTGATGGTGGTATGAAGGTATGATGTCATACCAAATGTTCTGACATCTTGCATGAAGTATTTTGTGGAAAACTTTATGCAACAACTACTTTCTATTTGTGAGGATGTTTTATCTTTTGCTATATGTGTCTCTGATGTGTGAACTTGGATAGTTCATAATGGTTTGGTAATTTGGATTTTCTGGTGATTTGGGTTTTTCCTTGAGGGGGAGTATTAGTTAAGTGTGATAGGGGGAGTAATGGTCATGTCTGATATTGAGTATTGTTCTAGCACTGAGCTCTTGTGCTGTGTTGGAGTCTCTTGTGTTGTGTTGGAGATGCGTTGTGTGGTGTTAGACCATATGCCTTGACATATAATTTCTAGAGTTTAAAGAAGTTGTAACCTCTGATGATGTGTAACTGCAATGTATCTCTGATATATTTTTATGTTTGCAGTTTTGTACAAAGTTTACATGCTATTCATGTAGCTTATGTTTTATGTTTGTGGTTTTATTTCTCTCTTCAGTTTGATTATTCTAAGGTTGTTTTAGTTAAAATTTATCAAGGGGGTGATTGTTAGATCCATGGTTCTATGATTGGCATAAATTTTTCTAAAACATGATTCATTGCTCATGTTGAGCAAGATGTCATAACATATTGACCAAGTGTCATGACAGGTTCTGCTGTCATGAATATCAAACAGATGTTGAGCCAGCTGTATTGACATCTTGCCCAACTATACAGTAGGAACTGTTGTTATTTCTCTTGATATATTTTATTTGATTTTGGGAGATCCTCTTGGATATATCTCACTTATCTTCGCAGATCAAGAAGATTTTATTAGAAACAATGCAAATTTGATTTTGTTTCATAAAAAGAGATCTTTGAGACTTTTTAGGAAACTTAGAAGATTTGTTCCTCTTTTTGTTGAAGATGTTGCATTTGATTTAAAATTAGAAGATTGAATATTATTGAAGAGTCCAAGCTCATTCTGCAAGAGTCTATAAATAAGGACTTGCTAAACCTAAAATAGAAAGCATTCACAACAAGAAATTGTGGATGTATAAGGTTTTAGGGTTTTTAGAGTACTTGCTTTGTTAGTTTTTGTATGTCACTCATGTATCTTATGATACATTGAGGTAGACTGATTGTTCATTGTTACTTGCCCATCACTCATGAGCTTTTAAGAAAATTTTTGATTGTGTGTCAAGTTATTATTCTCACTCATGAGCTTTAAGCAAAGAGTTGAGTATTATTTATCGAAAGTGTAATCTTTTGTTTTTGGTTCTTGTCACTAGTTTGTGACTGGTTTTATCACTGAGGTGATTGTGGGAAGTGAGAGGGGATTCTCATATCTAGGAGGTTCCTAGGTAGAAATTGTATAGGATAATGATTAGGTAATAAGTTGTAAAATGAGATTGTTTATGCTTTAACTAATACTATTATATTGGATTTCCTTCCTGACTTTGTAGTCCCCATAGCAAGTGATGTTGCACTGAACTGAGTTAACAATTGATTGTGTCATTTATTATCTACACTTTAATTCTTCATAATTTCTAATTTGATAAAATTGTTCTTTCAGCAGATGATGTCTTAAGATTATGGTTTGGTGTTAAGACATTAGCCTCGACATCTGTATTGCAAGTGCCCGAATTTCAATTATTTTATTTAAGTTTTTGTAGAAGATGACTAGTGGTGAGATAGATTATAAGAAATGATAATTGAGAAAGACGATTTTGAGTTTATAAGATGAATGCTAATAACACGATTTCCTATTAATGACACATGATTTAATAAAAATCACAATTTAATTTTAACTTTTCATTTTTAAATCTGATGATTGTTATTCATTCTCACATTCTCATATAACTTAATCATTCTCATATAACTTGATCAAAAAATAAAATTATATTTCATTTTATTTTTTAAAATACTATTTAATTTTATGAGATTAATTCGTATATAACTTCTGTCTAAACTTTTTTACTGCATCGATCCATCAAAATCATATATAAGTGGTATTTTCAATGTGATTAAAGAAAAATTCAAACATATATTAAAATTTAATAGTTATGATTAACTAATACTGTAAAATATCTTTACACTCTCAATATATTTAAATTAAAAAATTTATCTTCAGAAATTTATAATGATAATTTTATTTTAAATATTTAATTTTCTATAAACTAACACCTTCATATGCAATTATTAATAAAACTGATTATCAAATGTTCAATGAATGAAAAGAAAAAGTCAGTTTTAGTTAAAATAATGACTAAGGATAATAGTTTTCTAATTTAAAAATAAAGAGAAAAGGAATGATGTATTTATAGTGTAAAATAATTTTAAATGTCAATGAATAACGACCATGCATCCCGTTAAATCAGACTGAAAATTTTAAATAACTTAAATAACATGTCAAAATAATATATTCTCATTTGATGACAAACCCTTTTACACGGTTAATGCATATCTATTAAATTATTAAAAAAATTAATATAAAATATGTTGTTTATTTGTATTTATATTTGGACTGTAGTAAATTTTTCTTTTTATATAAAAAAAATGATTTTTATGATCAAAATAATAAAAATTATTGTAAACTCTTTTTTCATATAAATTTAAAACTAATTTTAATATCTAGTAACTGAAATATATATATATATATATATATATATATATATATATATATATATATATATATATATATATATATATATATGGAAGAAATTTATATTTTATTTTATTTTTTAAAATATTAATATAATTTTTATGTGATTAATTTGTATACAATTTCAGTCTACAAGTTTTTACCACATCGATCCATTACATCTATTTATAAGTGGTATTTTCAATGTGATTAAAAAAAATTCAAAGATATATTAAAATTTAAGGATTATAATCAACTGATATTATAAAATATCTTTATATTGTCAATATATTTTAATTAAATTTTAATTATTTTTTAGAAATTTATAATAATAATTTTATTTTAAATATTCAATTTTCTATACCTTCATATGCAATTATTAATAAAATTGATTATCAAATATTCATCGAATGAAAAAAAAAATCAATTTTAGTTAAAATAATGACTCGGGATAGTAATTTTAACTTTTAGAAAAAGCGAAAAGAATGATGTATTTACAAAGTAAAATAATTTTAGACCGTCAATTAATAATGATCATATACATTGTCAAATCACACTGAAAATTTTAAATTATTTAAATAACATAACATAATAATATATATTCTCATTTGACGAGAGTGTAAATTTTTTTTACAATTTCAGTGTATCTTCATTAAATTTTACAAAAAAATAATATCAAATTTATTGTTTATTTGTATTTATATTTGGACTCGTAGTTAATTTTTCTTTTTATTTAAAAAAATGATTTTTATCTTCAAAATAATAAAAATTATTGTAAACTTTTTTAAAAAAAAAATTAAAACTAATTTTAATATCTAGTAACTGAAATATGCATTATTGATGCTTAAAATATAGTCAAAATTGTATCTCAAAAATAAAATTTACCAAAAATTATTTAAAATAACTCTAAATTTAAATAATTTTTCAAAATTTTAATATTTTAAATAAATTAATGTGAAATGACAAACAGCTATTTTTTAAATGTATATTATGAAAAGCATTTTTTTTCCTTCTTTCCTTAAATTTTTGCACTTCAATCAATCACACTCTTACACTGTATTTGGTTCTTTAGAAGATAAAAGAAAAGAAAGAAAGAAAATTGAAAAATATACCTCGTTCCCTCTTTTGGTTGTATTTTAAAAGGCAAAGGAAAAAACAAATTAGCACGCTGTTTATGCATGTTCATCATTCAAAACCTTACATAAACCATCACATCCATTTCAATAACACATAAACTTCTTTCATTCTTTCTTTCTCAATCTCATCTTTTTTCCTTCTCCTGTCATGGCGACTATAGAAGAATTACCTTTTTCCATTCCTCAGCCTTTTTCCAAGGTATACATTTTATTTCCATTGTTATTATTTGTTTTACTAATCAGTTACTTTCAAATCTAAGTTTATCGTCTAGTTGCATTTTTTATTACTTTTGCAATCTTGAGCACATGCATTACAAGACATTTTATTAGGTCATGATAATATATATGAAGTTTGTTTCTCTATGCTAGTTTATTTTTGTGCTGAGCGCCTTAGTTGTTTATAGTAGTTGAATTGAAATTCACAGCTAAGGTTACATTTGGTGTGTTCATGTTGAATTTTCCCTATTCATAAATCCACCGCTTCTAGTACTAGATTAGGATTTTGATTTTAGTTTTAATTTTAATAGCAATGTCAATTGAAGACGATTTAGTTCCAGTTTTAACAAATTCTGATTCTGTTGAGCAGGATAAAGTGTTTCCTTCAACAGATGATATGATGGAAAAGGGTTTGGGAAGATTTGGTTGGTTAGAATTTGTGCAGTGCATTCTTGTTTCATTTGCAATGTTCTTTGATGCACAACAAGCGTTCATAGCGATCTACACTGACGATTACCCGACTTGGCATTGCACGAATTCAACCATGTGTAACTCAGATTCTAATATCTGTAATATCCCTAAATCTTCATGGTCATGGGATGGACCATCACACAAAACAGTTATATCTCAATGGAATCTTGAATGTGCTAGTAGCTTCCTAACAGGTTTACCGCAGTCTTCCTTCTTTATTGGCTGCCTTTTCGGTTCGTTTCTTCTTGCAACATTAGCAGATACTTCACTTGGGAGAAAGAACACACTTGTTATGTCTTGTTTATCCATGTCTATAGTTTCGATTCTGGTAGTTTTCTCTCCCAATATTTGGATTTACGCTGCTTTTAAATTCGTGATTGGCTTTATGCGTTCGTCAATTGGAACTTGTGTTTTAGTTTTGCTCACAGAGAAAGTCAGTACTGAGTGGAGGTTCACTGTTGGTATTGTCGAATATCTCTGCTTTACATTTGGGTATATGTCACTACCTGGTATAGCTTATGTCAATAGATTTAATTCATGGAAATCGGTTTACATCTGGACGTCGGTTCCTGCTATTTGTTACTCGTTTCTTGCTTATATCTTTGTTACTGAATCTCCAAGGTGGCTTCTAATGCAAGGAAGACGTCAAGAAGCTATGGCAATGCTTACAGGAGTTTCTTCATTAGAGAATGATAATGATTTGACAGTAGGTTTAATAGAAACTCCTGAGAATAAACCAAAGGCTTCGGTTTTCCAACTTTACTCATCGATAGCGGAGTTGTTTGGGAGAGGTTGGGCTTTAAAGAGAATGGTGGCGGTAATGGTGCTTGGTATTGGAACTGGAATGGTATATTTTGGTATGCCATTAGCAGTTGGGAACTTAGGATTTGATATTTACTTGGCTGTTGTGTTTAGTGGCTTGATGGAAATACCATCTTGTGTGGCTACCTATTTCTTGGAGAATCGCCAAAGAAAACCGTCAATTCTTGTATTCTCAATAGCTAGTGGCGTATGCTGTATAATGTGTGTTGTTGTTGGATCAGAAATACAAGAAATTAGAGTCGGATTAGCCATGGCATCGTTTTTCAGTGCTTGCATAGCTTATAATGTACTTCTCATTTACATTATCGAGTTATTTCCAACAAGTGTGAGGAACACTACAACATCATTGGTGAGACAAGCTATTGTTTTTGGTAACGTTTTCACCCCCTTTTTGATATCTGCTGGGAGGAAAAATGACATTTACTCTTACGGCGTGTTTGGAGTAGTTGTCATGTTGTCGTGTTTTACGTTGCTTGTTTTGCCTGAGACAAGAGGATTAGCTCTTTGTGATACCATGGATCAACAAGAGAAGAAAGATAATATGTCGGTATGAATTGGTAACGTTGTATGTCTTCTATGTTTTAAGTTTTCACGTCCATCGTATTAAATACTTGAGATTTGATTTTTTGAAGGGATACTTCAATAATGGTGATCTTGCATTTATATTTTTGAAGCTTATGTACTGATTGCATTTATATATTGGAAGCTTATTTACTGATTATTTTAAAGGCAGTTAAAGACGCTTCTGTTATTTCCCCCCTCATGAATTTTGGCAAAAATTAACGGTAGCACTTTGAGCTTTTGTTATTTCCCCCTTCATGAATTTAGGCGTGTGGGATCCATCATTGTTTTGTTTTCTTCAAAGTATTTATGATTTTTCAAACTGTTGGGGAAATTCGGGGAGCGAGGTTCGTAAGTGTTAATAGACCAAACGTTCATAGTTACAAGAGATTTTGATATCACATATATATTTGTCCAAAATCTTAAGGCAAAGTGATATGGGTCACCTCTCTTATAAACTCAACATTGCCTTCATTTCTAGTTAATGTGAGACTTTAACACCTTCACACTTGAAATTCAAAAATCTTTCCCACAAAAGTATAAGTCCCCCACATCAATAGCCTTGGTCTACACTAAGATCCACTTTTGCTCTCCCACCAAGCCAACCAGGCTCTGGTACCACTTGTTAGGAAAGTCCGGAGAGCAATGTCCAAAAGTGTCAATGGGGGAAATGTTCATGGTTACAAGAGACATTGACGCCACATATGCTCCTAAAGCCTTGAGGGCAAGAAGAACTGCAAGAAAAATTTATAAGTTGTTGGGGAGCACAGTTGTGGATGATGTAGCATTTGTTGAAACTGATAATGATGCAACCAAACTCTGCCACATGCGTTTGGGCCATCTTAGTGAACGTGGGATGATGGAACTACATAAGAGAAATTTACTGAAGGGTGTTCGCAGTTGCACAATTGGATTGTGCAAGTATTATGTTCTTGGGAAACCGTTCGTTTCAAGACTGGACAACACAAGATCAAGGGAATCTTAGACTATGTCCGTTCTGATGTCTAAGGGCCTACAAAAGAGCCATTTGTTGAAGATTCCAAGTGATTTGTCACATTCACTGATGATTCCAAGTTTACATTGTGGAAGGCATATGTTGAGAATCAGACAAGGAGAAAAATAAAATATTTGCAGTCTGATAATAGAACTGAATACACTGACAAGAAGTTCATGCATTTCTGTGAGGAGAATGAAATTCAGAGGAACTTTTCTGTGAGAAAGACACCACAACAGAATGTAAGTCTAATGTTTTAGGGTAGCAACGCTCAATATGACATATTATCTAGTCAACAGATCACCGCGAGCTTCATTGGATGACAAAGTTGCAGAGGAGGTGTGGACATGTAACCCCGTTTATCTGAATAATTTGAAGATTTCTGGGTGTCTAACATATGTGCATATTTCTAGTGAGGATCAGTCTAAACTTGATCCTAAGTCAAAATAATACATCTTTATTGGCTACAATAAAAGTGTGAAGGGGTACAAGTTGTGGGATCCGATTAAGAGGAATGTGGTAATCAACAGAGATATTATATTTGGTAGAAAATTCCAGTCAGGACAAGAATCATGTGGACATTGAGGAGCCACCAATGAGTCCAAGGTAGATTGTAGCCCAACAACATAATGGACCATACTCTTATACCACTTGTTGGGGAAGTCTGGAGAGCAAGGCCCAAAAGTGTCAATGGGCCAAACACCATAGTTACAAGAGACATTGACACCACATATTCACCTCAAACCTTAAGGCAATGAGGGTATGTGTCACCTCTTTTACAAACTCAATATTTCCTCCATTTCTAGTCGATGTGGGACTTTAACACCTTCACACTTGAAACCCAATACAAATCATACAAGGACATTGTACCAAGAGTTTTATTTCTTCTCACACCTTTTATTTTATTTTTATTGCAAACAATCAGAATGTAAATATTGGGATCTTGACTTTATTCATTCTCAAGATGATTCATCATATTTCGAGTTTGCGTAAGACAACTGAAAATTCAAATGTAAGGAAAATGAAAATCTGGAATTTTCTATGAAGAGGATAGATTTTATATTATTAATTCTCTGAATATGAAATGATTAATTTATAGGTCAAGTAGTGTTGTTTCACAAAGTTGCGTCCTTGATGAAACACACCCTTCAGCTACGGTTTTTTACTAAGTGTTACAACTTTTCGCCTACTACATCACTCCATAAGAGTTGCCTAATTGCTTGCTGCAACACTACAAAAGGTTGCCTATTTTCTATTGCTTACTGCAACACTTCACAAAGTATTTTCTATTTCCGAATTAAAAAGCAACTATTTGCAAGGTGTCATGTTATTATTGGTTTTAGACGACGACAACTAATCTAGAAGGTGGGGGGACTGAATAGATCTCCAAAGAAAAAATTCACTTAAATATTATTTTTAAAAATTAAGCAAAAACTATGGCAAGCGGAAGTCGTATCCTAGATCGCAAGCCGTCCAAACTGAACCGATTATTGGAGGCTTGAATATGCGTAATATCAAACTCAATTAAATGATGACAATAAGATATTAATACAATAAATTCTCAAGTAATTATTTTACAATTACAAGACCAACTTATATCCAATAAAACTAAGTGAAACAATTTATTGAACACTTAGAGTGCACTTAATTTTTGAGATTTTCTTTTAAACTTTGTTGGTATCAAACACCTCTTACAATCTAATAAATTGTAAGGTGATCAATAAAGCAATTTAACAATCAAAGGATTTGTCTATATGAATAAATTACATAATCAAAGAGTTTAACAAATTGTTAATAAAATGTAAATGATATATATATATATATATATATATATATATATATATATATATATATATATATATATATATATATATATATATATATATATATATATATATATATATATATATATATATATATATATATATATATATAGAGAGAGAGAGAGAGAGAGATAGATAGATACACACACAAGGATTTGTTTAGGAAGTTCACCAATCGTCCTCGCTATGACTACGTCTGCCTCCAATTCCATTTGGAATTGAGATATGAAATCTTAATATGAAAATATAACGTTTTACAAGAGAATTGAAGCAATCCAAACCTACAAACCTAAGTTTATTATTGATCCTTGCAATGTCTCTCCCCTCGATCTTGTGCTAGACAAAGTCGCCCATTAACACTAATTAATTCACCGTCTCACGTTACTCCTTTGCAAGAACCACCATATTCAAAGCTTTCACTCGATCGAATCCAATTGCGTGTTAACATGATCCCAAGATTTACCAATGTGATTCACCATATCACACTACTCCTTTGTAAGAAGCAACTTCTTTAAAGATGTCACTCGATCGAATCCACAATTGTGTAATCTTATCAAAAACCATCAAATCCCAATGATCTTGAAGAATAACCCCAACTCAGTTTTCTTATTGAAATAACCCCCAAATCCACAATGATATTGGAGGACAAACACTTAGTTTTCCGAATGAAACCCCCTATGATTCTCAACTCAACCTTAGGTTACAACCAACCTAAATTTAATGTTAACTAAGTCTAGATGGAACCCAAACAATGAATGATTATGTGTACTTTGTTTGTGTATATGCATAGATGCAAGGTTGAAGATGATGAGCAATATTAGTATGTGTTTATAGTTTCATCAAGTTGAAAAAGATGCAAGTATGAAGTATATATAGGTGTGCAAGTTTGAGGCAAAAGAAAAAACAAGAAGTTTGAAAAGGAAAACAATTTTTGAGAAATTCTGACACAAGTGTCGACACGTGTAAGTTATGTGTTAACACCTGTAATGACATGTGTCAAACTATATTAGGTCATTGTGTCGACACAAAGTTACAAACGCTATAGGCTTTAAAACAACAGTACATGTGTCGACACGAAACATGTATGTGTCAACACATTGAAGCTTTCTTAATGACATGTGTTGACCTGAAATGAAGAATGTGTCAGCACATAGTTACATAGTCTACATGCTTTATTATTGATCCACATGTTTCGATGTATAGAACAAATGTGTCAACACATGCAACTGGCTTTTATGTAGAAATTGATTTTTAGTGTATGATACCTAATGACTCAGAGGAACTATTCAATATACATAAAAGCAAAATATATCCTGGTTTTTAAAACATGCATGATATCTATCTAAGAGGAAAATTCATTCATATACTCCCCATTTTTTATGATGAAAAAACTTCAAAACTTGTGATGATGATTTTCGTGTCTTCATGAAGGCTCTCCCTCAATATGTGCATCCATCTTCCCATATGTTTCTTCCCCTTTGACAAAATTAAAAAGAGAGAAATCATGCCATGAGAAGTATCATTATTCACACTAATACAAATATATCACACATATGCGTTTTTCAAAAGTAAGAATATGCACTCACATATACCCATATACATGGAGTGACGCAAAAATTAAACATAAATAACAGGCAATATACATCACCCTAAGAACAAATGCAAATTCATGAAATATGATTGATGTAATGCACTAGCAAACACTTGAGTTTCCTTAAAAATGTAACAATTACGCAACACATCACATTGGTGCTCCCGATGCTGCACATGCATGTGCCTAGCTTGGCGGAAAAAAATCACCACTAAAACTAAAACTAAAGATTCTATCATAAAATGAGACATAACTTGATCAACACTTGAATTTACATTAAACTTGATCAAATTATATGAATTGCAATAAATAATAATAAAAAACATGCTTGTACACCAATACCATTTACTTCAAATGTTAAAGAATCAATAGCATAAAGTCCTTATAAGCATATAAATTAACACATATTATAGTTATCAATTGAAATTTTTGGAAGTGAACATTCATGATTTATATAATATATTGAGCATATTAAGCACTTGGAACATAAACAACATTGCATTAAGGAAAAAGATTATTTTCAAGGAGAAAAGTAACAAAATTACCTCATAGATGAATGAAATAGAGGATGCACTCGGATAGTG